GAAATGTATTGCATGTGTGGAGACAAAATCTTAAGTTATGTATGGTGGCGGAGTTGTCTGGTCGTAAAACTTCAGCTGTCACTAATCGGTATATGCCGCTACAGTTTAATTGCTTCTAACATGACAAAGCTTCGAGTCTCGCAAAACGTTGAGTCTGGCAAGCACTGTAACTAGCCAGCCTTACCATATATGTATAGGTCTACCAGCTAGGTGGCCCACTGACTCCAATATTAATGCGGTTATATCCATGGACACCAAATTTACTGTTTCACACAAAAAAAATATGAATAAACCATTTATAGGCTTTTGTTTTTGATAATTTGTCTAGAAATCAAGAAATCAATAACAAGTAGGATTTGATTTGGCCCTCGAGTCATGACTTTATATTACAGCTACTACAAAAACCAAGCAGTAGGTTACAGAATTATAAACAGACTTTATAAACAGATTGTCTATTGGTACACATAATTCATTTACACAAGGAGTAAACAGTGTAATTTCATAAATTTTCTTGATTTTTCAAAACAACATAATTTCCAGCACATTTTATTTCCTTTTTTTTTCTAGTACGTTACAAACACATTCTAAATAAATATGACAAATCCTCTAAAATGGGATTTTAAAATGAACCAACCTTTTTTTACATATATACTATTAGTAAAGATTTGGGTAGCACCTGTCATGGGAACCTGACTTGTGAAGATCAGCATCCTAGGCTTGACACTAGCCATGCTTCAATTATATCCGTGCAGTGGCAAAAACACATCAACATTCGTTCATTTTTAATGAGTTTAAATGGAAACGTGATTGTTATATCCAGGTGATGACTAACTTTTGGGCAAGATCACGTAAAGGCAGTTAAAACTTGTCAAAAACTTGACTGTTCTTGATGCGATGGTCCAACTCCTTCCATAATACATGATTTATATAAAACTTTAACCAAATGAAAATTTTGCACGACTAGTTTTTACATACGAAAGCTTTTATTTTGATTGAGACCTGACATTGCACTGCAAAAAGACGTGAAAAGTAACGAGAACACAGCGCTACATGTACATATAAATGTACATAATTTTCTAACATGAAAATAAACACCACACGAGCAAAAAGAAAATGGTAAAATCAATACACAGCCTCAGAGGAATCAAGGGTTTCAGAGATCTTGACTGGAGAATAATTCAGTATCGAACTTCATCCTTGTTGTTTTCATGTCTCGAAACAGTGACAGATACTGTGTAGTGACTTAACAATACCTACACATACTTCTCCCTGTCTAGAGACACTGTGTAGTGACTTAACAATACCTACACATACTTCTCCCTGTCTAGAGACACTGTGTAGTGACTTAACAATACCTACACATACTCCTCCCTGTCTAGAGACACTGACAGATATTGTGTAGTGACTTAACAATACCTACACATACTCCTCCCTGTCTAGAGACACTGTGTAGTGACTTAACAATACCTACACATACTTCTCCCTGTCTAGAGACACTGACAGACACTGTGTAGTGACTTAACAATACCTACACATACTTCTCCCTGTCTAGAGACACTGACAGATATTGTGTAGTGACTTAACAATACCTACACATACTTCTCCCTGTCTAGAGACACTTATAGACATTGTGTAGTGACTTAACAATACCTACACATACTTCTCCCTGTCTAGAGACACTGTGTAGTGACTTAACAATACCTACACATACTTCTCCCTGTCTAGAGACACTGTGTAGTGACTTAACAATACCTACACATACTCCTCCCTGTCTAGAGACACTGTGTAGTGACTTAACAATACCTACACATACTTCTCCCTGTCTAGAGACACTGACAGACATTGTGTAGTGACTTAACAATACCTACACATACTTCTCCCTGTCTAGAGACACTGTGTAGTGACTTAACAATACCTACACATACTTCTCCCTATCTAGAGACACTGACAGATAGTGTGTAGTGACTTAACAATACCTACACATACTCTTCCCTGTCTAGAGATACTGAGATAGTGTGTAGTGACTTAACAATACCTACACATACTCCTCCCTGTCTAGAGACACTGTGTAGTGACTTAACAATACCTACACATACTTCTCCCTGTCTAGAGACACTGACAGATAGTGTGTAGTGACTTAACAATACCTACACATACTCCTCCCTGTCTACAGACACTGACAGATAGTGTGTAGTGACTTAACAATACCTACACATACTCCTCCCTGTCTAGAGACATTGACAGACACTGTGTAGTGACTTAACAATACCTACACATACTCCTCCCTGTCTAGAGACACTGTGTAGTGACTTAACAATACCTACACATACTTCTCCCTGTCTACAGACACTGTGTAGTGACTTAACAATATCTACACATACTTCTCCCTGTCTACAGACACTGTGTAGTGACTTAACAATACCTACACATACTCCTCCCTGTCTAGAGATACTGAGATAGTGTGTAGTGACTTAACAATACCTACACATACTTCTCCCTGTCTACAGACACTGTGTAGTGACTTAACAATACCTACACATACTCCTCCCTGTCAAGAGACACTGACAGATAGTGTGTAGTGACTTAACAATACCTACACATACTTCTCCCTGTCTAGAGACATTGACAGACACTGTGTAGTGACTTAACAATACCTACACATACTCCTCCCTGTCTAGAGACACTGTGTAGTGACTTAACAATACCTACACATACTTCTCCCTGTCTACAGACACTGTGTAGTGACTTAACAATACCTACACATACTCCTCCCTGTCAAGAGACACTGACAGATAGTGTGTAGTGACTTAACAATACCTACACATACTTCTCCCTGTCTAGAGACATTGACAGACACTGTGTAGTGACTTAACAATACCTACACATACTCCTCCCTGTCTAGAGACACTGTGTAGTGACTTAACAATACCTACACATACTTCTCCCTGTCTACAGACACTGTGTAGTGACTTAACAATACCTACACATACTCCTCCCTGTCTAGAGACACTGACAGATAGTGTGTAGTGACTTAACAATACCTACACATACTTCTCCCTGTCTAGAGACACTGACAGATAGTGTGTAGTGACTTAACAATACATACACATACTTCTCCCTGTCTAGAGACACTGACAGACACTGTGTAGTGACTTAACAATACCTACACATACTTCTCCCTGTATAGACACTGACAGATAGTGTGTAGTGACTTAACAATACATACACATACTTCTCCCTGTCTAGAGACACTGACAGACATATGTGTACTAACTAATCTTGACAATACAGACATGACACTCATGCAATATTGCTGTTAGGGAATTTCAACCAGTAATGGAGCTGTAGAAAATAGAAACAGCAATTTGTTGGAAAAAGAACTATTTAAATACGTATGACAGGCCTGTGTTTCAACCCTGAAGCTCTATCTTAAATTGACAAGAACTACATGCATTGAAGTTTACCCTTATATTGGCCTGCTCTGATAGACCCGGGTGGAGCAACACAATGACAAGAACATCTTCAGGAAAATCTGTCATTGAATGTGTGTGGGCTCACAGCCGGATAAAACACCACAAAAAAATATATACTGCAATTAGACAAGGAAACATGTTGTTCCAGTAGTCTATGGATCAAGTTAACTAAAAACATGCTGACAGTTTAAAAGTTAACAAAAACATATATTCTAATTGATTAATATCCAAACATTCATTAGCATCCTCCTTGGCGGTTTAAACCCATTATTTCCCACCTTAATGTAAATTTATCTACCAGAAATCAATTTTAGGCGTTGCTTCTGCCCGAATTGCAGCATGTTTTCTAAAATCCTTACAGAAATTATACCACGGACAAAAACTGAAGCACTAGTAGTGCGAGAGCTCACATGAGCTTTTAATTTGTGATTGAGGTGATGTGAACTCACGGCCCCATGGACCTGCATCGCTTATCTCAAAGGTGTGCGATGTTTTTTACACATACATTAACAATTCACATTATCATAACGTTCAAAGTCTTACGATAAGAAAAATTTATTTATTTTGAAGATTTGAAAAATTTTTAACCTTGTCACCATTTCTTTTCCCAAATCTTTCTTGAGCTTGAGAAGAGGTCATTTAAACAAAAAAGTTAATGCTGGATGGACGGACGATACATAACAAACAGATAGAGCATGCATGGTACAGCACAGCATACATAAGAATGAGTCATTTGGACCATGTTAGTACTTAACTTTAATTCAGTCAAAACTGAAAGCAATTGCTTATTATCGAATTGTGATGGATGGAACAGGATCTCAATCTGCCAAATTTGGGGCTAATGCAAAATAGTATCTTTTTTTCCCAATTTAGACCCCAAGTTTTCCCAATTCTAAGGAAAACACCATTATTTTTCCCAATTCTAAGGGCCCCGGGCCCCAGTTCCAAAATGGGGTGTGAGAGCCCTGTGGAACAACCATTTTATAGAATAAATCACAATAACATAATGAAAATTATGATGTCATGATGGTCAAGCAAGCACTGTTTGACAAATTTCTCTTCTGTCTGACAGGTAAGGGAAATGCCATGAAAATGGAAGTATATAAGAGGGTCGATTGTTGCTGGTCTCATATACAAACCTGCTTAGTATAATGTGGCACTGTTTGTCCATGACTCAGTACCTACTGACCTCTTCAGTATTACAACGAGTTCTTTTTTCTTGACTATAAATTACTACTGGCCTGTTTGGTGTTATGTGGCACTGTTTTTTATGACTCGGTTACCACAGATCTGTTTTTGATGACTCTGTTACTACACTGACCTATTTGGTGTTATGTGGCACTGTTTTTTATGACTCGGTTACCACACTGACCTGTTTGGTGTTATGTGGCACTGTTTTTTATGACTTGGTTACCACACTGACCTGTTTGGTGTTATGTGGCACTGTTTTTTATGACTCGGTTACCACACTGACCTATTCGGTTTTATGTGACACTGTTTTTTTTATGACTATAAATTACTACTGACCTGTTCCGTGTTATGTGAAGTTGTTTTTTCTTGACTTGGTTGCAGAAAGACATCGTGAACATTTCGTCGGATGATGTAACCAACAATCATACCAACAGCTAGGCAGGCAGCCAGCAGCAGAAGTTTTAAGGCACAACCTTTCTGCCCACTAAAAAAGGACAATTTGGAAGTTGAGGCATTGTCTAGGTTTTTATATTCAATGTCAACCTTTTCAGACTCAGCATCCCATCGCGAAACTTGTTTCCCGGCGATGTATTTACCCTTGGTGGGCATCCTGCAAATAGAAATAAAACAGATTAATTCTGAGACATGAAATCAACACAATGTCTAAGGATTTTCATGCTCTCACCACATTCACTGTAAAACCAATCATTTTCATGCTCTCACCACATTCACTGTAAAATCAATCATTTTCATGCTCTCACCACATTCACTGTAAAACCAATCATTTTCATGCTCTCACCACATTCACTGTAAAATCAATCATTTTCATGCTCTCACCACATTCACTGTAAAACCAATCATTTTCATGCTCTCACCACATTCACTGTAAAACCAATCATTTTCATGCTCTCACCACATTCACTGTAAAACCAATCATTTTCATGCTCTCACCACATTCACTGTAAAATCAATCATTTTCATGCTCTCACCACATTCACTGTAAAACCAATCATTTTCATGCTCTCACCATATCACTGTAAAATCAATCATTTTCATGCTCTCACCACATTCACTGTAAATACTGTAAAACCAATCATTTTCATGCTCTCACCACTTTCACTACATACTGTAAAATCAATCATTTTCATGGGGGATGTATTTTTGTAGAATTCCAGGGTATTCTAAATAACTAAATCTTTATGTCCACAAAAAAATTGAAGGCAAAAAGTAAAATGGATTCTAGTACCAGAAGATTTGGTAGGCGAGGTTTAATCATGAGATCAAGTCCCAATGACAATGTATTTTTGAAAAATCAAAATTTGAGCCCATCAAAAATATCTGATTGTATAGTAAGTAGATGTACAAGTATACAGCATAACAGACATTAATACATCCTCCACACTCCAGGGGTTATGATCACTTTTGCTCTCTGCACCCCCGAAATATGTCCTGGCAAAACTGAAGGTTCCATGTGTAACACCTTGTGGACAAGACAAAAAGACTAGTTTGATCCTTTGATGTACATCAAACAAATCTTGAGGTCACATAATGGTATATTGTGATGGATTTGAAAATGGGTGTTGCTCATTCGTGATCTTCAAAAGGAGCATATAAGCCTGTGATTGGTTCGTTTTTTCTTCCTTGAACCAGTCAAATTACTTTGCTTGTGCCTTCAATTTTGCCATGACATGTTCCAGGGGTGCAGAGAGCGAAAGTGATCGTAACCCCTGGAGTATTAAGGATGGTATTAATACAGCTGAAATCATATTTGGTTTGAGCCACAATGTGCTAAAAAGTTCCACTTTGTTTTCATTACAAATAACATCTTGACATAGCCTGATTTTGATTTCTCTACAATGATAAAATAATATTGGCCATGTTTTGATGTGAGATTGACTCTAAAGAAACAGAAAAAAAACCAAGACCATGTAATGGTCAATTACCTTGACCTACATCAGTTTACAATCAAAATATGAGTTTTTAATTCACATAATTATTTACAAAATTGCGGCTACATTTAACAAGAATTAAAAACAAGAAAGCTCATTCACTGATCACTCCTCTCAAGTCAAAGCTTCAGCTTAGTCTGTTCAGTTGAGTTTAAACAGTGATAAGAAGAAATGCATACCCTGCTGATAACCTCATGCTTCAGGGCAAGTAGAGTTTTGCCAGGGCTTGTAAAGTTTTAAATGCATTTTCAACAAAGCTCCCTTCCCTTGTTAAAAAAATATTGACCAAAGGTAGGGAGGGGGCTTATTAGCAAGCTCTGCCCTCTTGAATAAATGTCCTACCTTACTTTGTATAAATACGCAATATCACCGACTACTTTGACATAAATATATTGTGATTTGTTGTTGATCACATTAATACATTGATGTTGACTATGTTATGAATCAACAACCAGAAAATATATATAATATTCATGTTTATGAACTATTAGACTGCCACTTGAGAAAAATTATGACAGGATGATCAATGTTCGCAACATCTTATGTCCTATATAAACTTGCTCGTAGACTCGTATATTTTGGTCATCACGCTAGATTTATGCCACAAAATGAAAATACAATACTTCTGATTGGTTCTTTGGTCATATCTAATATGTAGATGAAACACAAGAATCCTAATCTTCACTACAATACAGCATGACTTGAATGCCAGTCAATATGTGTATCTTCAATTCTGCTACCAGCAATACATCATAATAAAGGGTTGGAATTAATATCATAGACAGTGATGGATGATGGTACACTTAGATATAACATACAATTGTAACAAACAATTTAATACTTTAATGAATCTACTTGTCACGATCCCAATACACAACAGTATGAAGTTATAAACCCCCTTGACACATACAGACAGTTACAAATGCAGTTGGAAAGTAGTGTTAACTTGCAACCAGTTCAAGTGATTGTGAGATAGACAGATCTAACTCTAGATACCCAATCTTCATAATCATCATCATCATTACAAACTGTAGAATGTTAATGGACTGACTGCAATTTGTAACTCAAGCAAAAACTATGAAACATGAACAATAAATATTGTGACATAATTCTAAGGTGTCACAGACCCATCTGCTGTTGCCACGTGAACATAATGAAATAATGAAGGAAGACTCCAGCTTTCTGGTATAGACTGTGTTAGTTTCCTGTCTTTTAAAATATTTCATGGTCATCTGCACAGTTAATGTAGCATGCCCATCCTCGCAGAGAATTTTTTATAATTCTCTGAGATGAGAAGGCGTATCGGATTTCCAATGGATTCTCTATATTTCAACTTGTCAAATTATTAATTCTGAAATAAAATCACTTTGCAAATACAAGGTTTACCTTTTATACTAACAACCATTTAGTCACCAATCCACTTTATCGTTACCGCCAACAGCTGATCTATAACTGCTAAAACGTAAACATCACAACCGTAAAAATATTACCCCTGATACTTGCACAGCATTTACCTGTGTAGCTCCAGTGTGATTGTTAATACTGTCCAACGTATCTATGTTGATGGTGTTAACTCTGTGACATATCTAATGCTCCAGTTTGCATGAGGTAATACAGTTTTTAAGCGCACTGAAAGATCATTTCTCCCTTGTGTTTCCATGTCGTTATTCTTGAAGGTCTAGAAAACGCTTGACACGAACAGTTACAAAACAACAAGCGTTTTATAGATCGAGGGACGTTCTAATGAATGTACAAAAAAGGCAAATCCGGCCAATTTTTACGGAAGATTTTATAATTCAGTTTAAAATATTTCATATTGATAGACTCATATTAAATATAATGATTAACAATGATTTAAACATATATATAAATATCTTAGTCTACAGAAGACAGACTAATCCCAGTTCTGTTCTACAAAAGCCCCAGTAGTATCACAAACTATTAATAAATATATAATTCTCATATCTAATGTAAAATATAGCAAATGCATCCCAGGGAGCATCCCAACACCAGACCAAATCAATCATTTAAACTGGTATAGTCCCCCTATTGGTCACTCCACTCCCTGTATATTGTGGAAATTCACATTTAATGTTAAAGAGATTGTATGCATAAGCCCACAACACTGAGCTTTAATTGGTCCAAAGTGAAAGCTTAAACAGCATATATATTTTTGATGTCTCAGTCTTCATACACATGCAATGTATCATTCTGATCCTTTAGCTGGCCTTATGTGGATACACATGCTCTTCACTAGTACAATGCTAGATCCATAATTTGTATCAGAAAATTACCATTTCAAAATTAAGCCCACTATCAAGAACGTGAGTACATATATATATCCTTGGCGCATTTGTTTCGGACACCTTAAGAATAATTTTTCGCCAGCTTTGTCGATGAACTGCCACCAAACAAATACATAAATGACTTAAAATGTGTTCATACTATAAGATCTATTTAAAAACTGACCGATGAGTGCTCAGCATTTTTCTAAAAAAAAATTCCACAGATAAATTCGCTCAAATTCGCTCACCTGAAATGATCAACATGTGTATCGGGCATGTGAATGTGCTTCCATATCTGATGGCATCATTCAATCACAGAGAGGCATGAGTTAGATCAGAGTGACCCAGAAGTACACATGTTGTATACAAAATCAGCATTTGAATGCAAACAGCATTTTGATGACAAAAAAATCTTAATAAGAATAATATGATACTTCTTGGAAAACTTTTTTATAACACAAACTATTTAAATAGTAATTTTTTTTAGTCTCTCTGTCAACAACTTTCTATAAAATCAGAAATGAATCATCAAACATGATAACTTAAAAATCTTCTTTTTTGTCATTATAAGGCATGAATGTTTGGACTTTCGTAGCCTGAAAATTACAAAAAGGTGTGGCCTATTATTCCTGGTTGATTTTCATTCATTAGACAGATGACAACAAAACATTGACATCTGAGAATGAATTGATAGGTTATTTCATAATATCTAGGAGGATGTTTGACATGTAAAAATGTGTATTAAGAAACAATACAAAAATTTGCCAATGCAATATTAAAACATAATATTTTGTGGTAAATGCATGGTTTAAATCATTATTCTTTATTCCTTCTGGAAGCCTGACATGTTACAGCAACCAAAATTATCAGGGTGGGAGGTTATGGCGGTCAATAGAGCATGTGATAAGCCTAAACAAAATGGCTGTTCTGATTAACATAATGGTCCACAACTGATATCCATACAATACATGTAGCTAGCTGAGTGTAACAAACTTCATGTGAGTATGACACAGATCAGACCTACAGTTTGAGTATGACACAGATCAGACCTACAGCTTGAGTATGACACAGATCAGACCTACAGTCTGAGTATGACACAGATCAGACCTACAGCTTGAGTATGACACAGATCAGACCTACAGCTTGAGTATGACACAGATCAGACCTACAGCTAGAGTATGACACAGATCAGACCTGCAGTCTGAGTATGACACAGATCAGACCTGCAGTCCGAGTATGACACAGATCAGACCTACAGCTTGAGTATGACACAGATCAGACCTACAGCTTGAGTATGACACAGATCAGACCTACAGCTAGAGTATGACACAGATCAGACCTACAGTCTGAGTATGACACAGATCAGACCTACAGTCTGAGTATGACACAGATCAGACCTACAGCTAGAGTATGACACAGATCAGACCTGCAGTCTGAGTATGACACAGATCAGACCTACAGCTTGAGTATGACACAGATCAGACCTACAGTCTGAGTATGACACAGATCAGACCTACAGTCTGAGTATGACACAGATCAGACCTACAGTCTGAGTATGACACAGATCAGACCTACAGTCTGAGTATGACACAGATCAGACCTACAGCTTGAGTATGACACAGATCAGACCTACAGTCTGAGTATGACACAGATCAGACCTACAGTCTGAGTATGACACAGATCAGACCTACAGTCTGAGTATGACACAGATCAGACTTACAACTAGAGTATGACACAGATCAGACAATTATCCATGTCAACTTTAATTTATCAAACATTTCGTGGACAGTGTACAGATGAATGTGTGGATTTAGAGTACCCATGAATAAAGCCAAAATACATCCCCACTCTCCCTACAAAAGTTCATGATTTTAGAGAAGAGTTCAACATGCATCTTTCTAAATTTATCTGTTAGCTGTCGACATCTTTTACAGAAATCATGAATATTGAACCAGCTCTGCCATTTATTAATACCATACTTTGGGAAAGCAGAAAATCTACAATCTAGAAATGAAAACAAAATCACAACAGGGAAATCACAATCATAATAACCTTTCATACAGCTAAACAGAAAGCTTCCAAAATTGTTTATTTTATTGTTGAAAGCCACCTAGTATACAGCTGACAAAAATTGTCTTTCATGCCTTAATTATCAGTTTTGGTGGTTGCATAAAGATTTTAAATAAATGAAAACAAGTAAGCCGAACTAGGAGTCGTTTATTGCCATAGGTATTGTAGAAGCTGGTATGAATTAGGTTGCTCTAATTAAGATGACTTATATCTAAGTGACGTTAAGGAGTTGAACGTTTATTTGCCTATAGCGGTCAGGCGGTTAGAAGCTCCAGCATTCTACAGTCTTGACCAGTCGTCAAATTCCTAACTTTTGCAACATCATGAAACCTAAAACTTTATTTGTCTTAGTTATCACAATTGTGAAATAAGTAATTTCACCTTGAATTAATCACTCTTGATGGCCCAGATGAAGCACATGAGAGGTTTTACTGTAGAAGGAAACTGGAGCGCTCGGGGTAAAACCCAAATGGTTCGGAATATGACCTTTTTATGTCCATTGGGGAATCAAACCCTAGGCAAAAGGCAAGTTTTGCCACTGTGCCATCCAAACAATCAATATATTAACTGTACATATTGCATTTCAAGTATTTTTTTCCCTTTTGTAACTCTGTCTCTTATATAATTACTGCAGGTTTTGCTTCACCTCCAACTTCTACAACAGAAAAGCAACTATCAGTACCACAGTTAGGAAATAACTTGTTTAGAGTTTTTAAAAGGCACATAAGGGTGCTGTGCATCAATGCCGTTGGTAACGGAGGCCATGCTTATATAGTAATGGGCTGCACATGTAAGACTCCACCAATAACATTAGTTTGCTTTAAATTCAATTAATTGGTATCAATTGTTAACCTTTTGTGTCAGAGACATGAAGTGTCGAGGACAAACTATGATGTCAAGGACAAACTGACACAATGACATAAGTGTCTCTGGAAGGGAAAAATAGGTTACAGAATAAAAAGTTAAAACAACTGAAGACACATTATAAAATCCTTTTACATTCCTTCCTCCCTCTCCCTCTCCCCCTCCCCCTCTCCCTCTCTCTCTCTCCCTCTCCCTCAACCCTAGACTGTAACATCAACCCAGGTCAGAATATGCCTGGAACATGACATTTCAGTGAATTTGCACTACAACACATTGAAAATGAACTTCATGATCAAAGCAAAACAAACTCCCATGATGCATCTCTTGTGCTTAATTCCCCTGAAATTGTTTAATTAGAAATCAGCCAAAGATTGTAAAATTTGAAGGGAATGCGACCAGAATGGTTATTACTTAAAGATCCACCTTCAGAACAACAACAGCAAACGTACTACTCATCAAAGTGAATACCTGGTTAATATATCTTGTACTCTCAGTACTGTAATATCATCTCAACAACTTGTGAATTATTTATACTGATTAATACCCAAGACAATCTCAGGTTTCACGAGTATGTACTGGGAAACATGCAGTCCTGTATTGGGTAAGTTAGAGGTAGGACTGATTTACTTTGGCATAATAAAAAAAAAATGTGCCTAGAATTTTGATTTTGATCTCTCAAAATATCATTTCAAGACGATAGTTGAGACAATTCCGGGCAAATGGAGTTTACATATATACTGTGGTTTTGAAACCATTTCATATAGAAAGTTATTATTTTATTGAATTTTTCAGCAAATGCACCAACCTGTCTGGGTTTTGACACAGATTTTAACCAATTTGAATTTTCCCCAGTTGCATAGGCCCAATGTATATATTTATATATAGTATCACTGACGAGGATGAAAAAGCTGTATGATGCCTTTTAATCATTTGGGTCTGCTGTATCTCGATCTAAATTTCATTGAAAGGTGTTATCACTTGTCCATCTTTTGTACAATTTCTTATCATGATTTCTTAAGGTCAACATTACACAAGTAAGTATAAATAGCTTTGTGAAATGGTCTAATCTAATTTGTGGGCAAACCTCAACAGTCTCTCTAAATTCCAGATACAGCCTTATACACTGCATCCTATGTCCCGCATCTAGGATTTGTAAATAATTTATGGACAAACAAACACCAAACGCAATTAGACTCCAGACATTCTGCCCTGACGCAACGTAAGAAAGATGTACATTGCAGTAAACATGACATGTTTGGATGTTGATTTCACCTCCCCTCACTCAGATAAAAAACAATCACAGCTGTATCAGTTAAATATGATGTTGGTTTCAAAACTCTCCAAAAACAACAGTTTAGATGAGTTTATCTACAGATATTTAACATATTTCAATTCAATGCCACA